TTAGGTATTTCAAGTAACGATCTCCTAACGGTTAGGTATTTCAAGTACTAAAAACACGGGGTAGTAAGAATAGCCACGACGTCACCTCTGTAAGGACCCCGATGGAGGGGGGGGGGGGGTTGATTCACGATCCACCCTGATCAACGATCCACCTGGCGCAGGATTGGTACTTCATATCTACTGTAGTCCCCCTAATTCCATTGTTTCCTTTTGTGTCTATTTGACTATTACACGTTGACTGGCATTCTTTATTTCACGGCTTAAATGCCTCAACTCTAACGAGGAGGAAAGATGCAAGTATTGGCGACGACGACATTAATGAAGGAGGTGTTGTTGACAATGATGGTGACATTGATAATGTAGAAAATGACGATGGTGATATTGACGACAATGATGTTGATAATGATGACAATAAGGTGACATTGACAATGACATCGATGATGGCGATGATGACAATGATGATGGCAATGATGCCAGTGATGATGATAATGAAGAGAAAAGTTACACTGATTTTGGTGTGGCGAAAACGCTACAAAGCAAAGCCAGTCAAAATCCCTCTGCAATATCACAGCTTGTGCTTATAAAAAGTCGGATTTACACGGTACGATTTTACCTCGTAATTTTTGCGCGCAACATGCTGACGACACGAATTGCTTCGTGTAAATCGACCATACAACTTGCCTATGACTGTAAATGGCAGCTTAAGCTTGGTGTAAGAATATCAAACGCATCTTTTATATCAAGACGATGTCCTCACCTCTGAGTAGTTTTTTTGCTTCGCGTGTGTATCGGCCATGTTCTCCAGCCATGTCTCTCTCAGTTCAGGGGTACTCGAGTAGGACTTGGCCAGACTGAACTGAAGGTCCATAAGCACTTCCGGTATGTCGTCATATTCCTGTAACCATGACAACGAATAAATACGTCAAAAAGTCGGTAAAACATAAATTACAAGGGACTTTGTCAACTTTGGCAATAATAATAATAATAATAATAGTAATAGTAATAATAATAATAGTAGTAATAATATCATCATCATCACTATTATTATCATTCGGCAAAAAAATATTATGATTATGATTATCATCATCATCATTATTATTGATCATAAAGCAATATTCGAAAAATAAGAATCAGCTAAGCCTAGGCGGAAGCCCGCATTGTTGTAACATAAAAAACAATGGAAAAAAAAAAAGATACCATGATAATATCGAAATGATATATAAATATTATGATGCAGGAATATATAAATATATCGTGAAGGACTTGCACTGCAAGAACGTGTAGGTGTTGAAATATGCCGGGCTCTCGAGAAATATGCTTTGAAATATAAATGTTTTTTCTTGTATTGTAAACATCTGCAGACTGCTATGATCCTTGATTATAACGTATATAACATACTGGGTTTTGATCGTTCTGGTCGCGAGTGGTGTCGACAACCACCAGAGGAAGGACGAACAGTTGCTGGATTGGATTCGATGAATCTTGACCATCCTGTTGAATGTGGAAAATACTTTTCTTTTTGCGAATCATATTCGCTATCAACCATCGACGTTAGACCAGCAAAGCCAAATACAAAAAGTCTCGTATTTTCAACGGATAAAACATTAAAACAAGGAAATCAAATATATCTGCAGTTAGCAGGATACAGTAGGAGTTAATGTTCACAAGCCGCCTTTTAGTATAATATTTTCAAATCCGTTTTTAAGTTTAGCAGGTGTTTTGTCAATATCCAGCCAAACTCGACCAGACGATATTGAACTTGATAAGCAAAGAAGTTCGGCATACGAATATCGAATGTTAGAAGTATTGGAACTGTAAGGTAAACTCTAGTCTAGCCAGTCATAATGGAAAGCGGTGGAATCTTCTGTAGTCACACTATATTCATTCTCTTGACGCCGCTTCCTAATGGACTACATTATTAAGATTTATCAACCAAGGTTAAGGCAGAAGAACCGAAACCAGTTGACCAATCACACGAATGATTAGAATTACATCTACGCCAATAATGTCACGTCAAAGAGTAAAACAAGAGTCCCGTTGTTAAGATGAAAGGCAATAAAACTATTGTTTTTGTGGAAGAGCCTATCGAGAAGGAACACGGTTAGGATAAGATTAACTTGGTTAAGCAACGTTAAATGAACGAGTCATTTAGAGGATTGTTATTTGCGGTGAGTCTTTGTGGTTGATTCGTTTGGACTGAGTTTACATGGGTGTATATCTATTACACATCTGCTTTGTTACATAAGCTTTATTCAGTTTTCGAGAGAAATAATTCAATATAAAAATAATAGAGTTCACAGGGCATTAAATTTTATAGTTAGCTTCATCTTGGATACCTAAGGCCTCCTTTCTCGCGAGGAAAAAAGAAAGGGAAAAAAACCGTACCAGAGTAATGCATCGTAATTTATCTTCGATTTATGAATTTTTTTAGTGTAAAGCCCCGTTTACACTAGCGATTTTTGCGGCGATTTTTGCTGCGATTTTTGTGGCAATTTTCGGAAATATGAAATCTTTTGTCTCATCCTTCAAAAGAAACATTCGTCTAGGAAAATCTTGGTATCCTGAAAAAACTTTACAAGTAAATTCTTTACCATTATTTATTATGGACAAAATCGAAAAAAAAAAAAAAAAATCGCAGCAAAAATCGCTAGTGTAAACGGGGCTTAAAAATAGTCCACAGGGCATGTCGTGTGCACCATCTTGGATATCCAAGCCCTCTTTTCTCACGAAAAAAAATACCCGTACCAGAACAACCCATCATGCTTTAGTCTTTGACATATAAAGTTTTTTGGAAGAAAGATTTCATTCCTGACAAAAAAAAATCTATACCACACGCTGGCAGTACAATAGCTTTTTTTTCGCGGGGCAAACACACTTTTGGTTTACCCGCAGAGCTGGTGGTGAACGACAGACAGGTGTTGTCTGTTAGCTTCGATACATTAGCCCTCCTCCTCGGGAAGAAGATTTTAGTGAGTAAATAACATATTGAAAAGTAAAGACCATTGGTTTACCCGCCTACATGGCGCACAACACACATGCGGCGGTTTGTGCTATCTTCGAAACATCGACCATCCTCCCCGAGACGAGGAATTGATGAGTTTTTTTGTTGTTGGTAATATGATATACTAGTGCTGGAGGCGTGTTCTTGAGACACCCGAAGGACAAGGTGAGATTTAGGATCCAGTAAGATTTGACTTTTTCATTGCACACAAGCGGATTGAAATATAATTAAAATGCACTTGAAAAACTCAAAAAAATGAGAATGATGTCAAGTTTTTTCAAGCCGTGAAACAAACACTTTTAGATGATATCAGGAAATCATGCAGTTTAATCCAGAGATCGAATCCTGAAGCAAACTCTTGGCCGATGGGACAAGATTACGCCTAAGGTAAAGAGATCTATTCAACGATAGACGAGAGAAGTCGAGCACACTGATTGTTTCTATAGCAACTGACCTTCATTTGTGCTGTAGCTTGTAGAACAGTGTGGATCTTTTTGGTGAGGTCTTTGACTTCTGATGGAAACGACGTGTTCTGGAACAGAGAGCAGGAGAATCAATAAATATTACATGGTGATCAATGAAGATATGTATATATATAGAATGTGTGTATGAATGTGAATGAATCAATGGATGGGTGAGATACTGAAGTGATGGATAGATGAAACAGTAATGATAAAARGGTAAATTATACACCGTGAAAAGATGAAAAAACTTTCGGAAGTTTCGGACGCTAGTCCTTCGTCGGAGTAAAAGAGGTTGATGGATAGATGGTTGAATGGATGGATGAAATGAACGAAAGGAAGGATAAGTGGATGGGATGGGACAGACAATAAAACGGATAAGAGGAACGAATGAATGTTTGGAAAAGTAAATGGACAGATGAATGGATGAATGGATGGGATAAAATGAACGAAAGGGATGGAGTTAATAGATGGGATAAAATGGAAGGATGATGAAATAGATAAATTGGATAAAAAGATATATACGATGGACGAATGGATGGACAAATGGATGGACAAATGGGATGGAATGCATAGATGGGATGGATGATATGAATGGAAGGATGGGTGAGATAGATAAACTGGATGCAATGATGGGAGGGGTAGATGGACGAATGAATAATTGAATGGGATGAATGGATGGGATAATGGATAATTGGATGGCTGGAGAAATGGAGGGATGGAGCGATGGAGGGAGGGATGGAGCAATTTTAATGAAGTGGTAGTGTGATTAATGAAATGAAAACCAGAACTCTCCAACCATTACCTTCATTCCTTTGTCATCATTGGCGTAGTTCTTCAGCGCGATCAAAGAATTATTCACCGCTGGTCGGTTCAGTCCACTTTGCATCAACCTGGACACGGCCACGATAACCTGCGCAAAACATAAAAGTATGGTAACGAATAGCTAGACCTCATTTTCATAACACCATTAAGAGAAAAGCATATCAAATGGAATCCATTTAAAAATCAACACGGAAAATTTATTTTGGCGGAAGAAAACTAAATGAATAAAGATAAATTCCTTATATTCTATGAACACTTTTCCTCATTTCTATTTCGTATTTTCTTTTTCCGTGCTAATTCAGAATTTTTTACACGACTTTTTTTGTTCTATTGAATAAGCTACGACCAAAGTTATTTTAGAAAATCTTAAATATTTTTTTGAATTGAATTTCAAGACAGAATCCCTTGGAAGACGTAGACGAAAACTGGTAGACGATCTTAATCGGGTACATCAAAACTACAAAGATTAAAAGCACCTTCAAATAATCAAAGCATTAATATAATTTCTGGAATTCAATACYTTTTTCTTTCCCATTTGCCGTCACTCACAAGAACCAGATTATTTCAGGAACAGAATCATCCGATACCAGAAAAACTGAGGCATTTTTTATCTCAAAGGTAGTAGAATTTCGCGGTTGGATCGGGGAAAAAAATCCTAAAGGCGTGCGGATCCTATGCTGTGAAATACTAAGGAATAATATTTCAGGATGCGGATTACTACGAAAATATATGAAAATGAGATTGGTATGAATCTGATAGCACTGACCAGAAAAATAAGCCAATTATATTGGTGCCTTTGATAGTCTAAATAAGTGAATTGCATATTTGGTATTACTTCTGCAGCTGTCTGGTCTTGTCTGTACTGACTGACTGACGGATCTGAGGAGAATTCTCTAGTTGCTTAAGTGATAAATGGAAACTCTCCTTGTTATTTCGTGCAGATATACACTATTTTTGAAAATATTTTTTTTACGCATCTCAAAAAAGTAAATAGCAATTTGAAATTATGATTTCTGACTATAGTCGTTAAGGTCTTCTATTTTTATGCCTTAGTATTTCCAAAAAAAAACAATATTATCCTTAATGAGGTGTGGTTAAATAAGGTCTGTTGATTCCAATTTACTTTGTGAAATATATAAATTATTAGCAGCTTCATGAAGAATAATTTGCTTATATTCCTATGCACTAATGACTTGTAAAAACACTCTAATAATCCCATTTTAAGATCCTATTATTCCTTCTCATTCATCTACTTACATTAGTTTTATTTTTACCACAAAGTGGCCTGCTTTAGATGGCAAGCAAAGCCTAAGAGAGTCCTTCGTAATTTAGTTCGAGTTAATCAAAGGAATTTCAGTCTTTTATCTTGATCCGAGACCTTCAAGAACGTTTTTTGAAAGCTTCTAATAATTTGATCAAGATATTGGAGAATAATCAGCGAATTCAAGTCTTATCGAGAGACAAGCTGTTTTGTTGTGTTGGATAAAAATCGATGAAATTGAAGACCTTTCATCGAGTTTGTCTGGCATCAAATAATTGTTTTAGGATTATCGGGGTCACCGCTGTCAAAATACTTAATCTCCCCCCCCCCTCCCCCACGCTTCCAGAAAAAGAACATTCGTGAATCATCTAAGCCTTAGGATGAGGGTGAAAAGGAAGGGACGATAACTTTTAAATGGCTTCCGCTATGGACCACTCAAAAAGCAATAAAAAGGAACACCATCCAATCATGAGGCTTGAGCTGAAATGGAAGCCATTTCAGTGTCACGCATTTTTTTATTTGATACAAAATCTGTTCCGTTTGCAATATCGATGGTAATAAAATATTCACTAATTTTGACCTTAGATTAGATATTTTGATATTAAAATCACAGAGATACCGCGAGCGCGCCAGCTGCGTATCCCGATTCCTGCTGTCTCACCTGCCAGTGAATCCTGTCACAGTTCATTCCACCAGTGAACTCGTAATTACTCCTCATCATCAGATACAGATAAGCACATGCCTGAAGATCATGAAAATACGTTATACACGTGTTGCCACGCCTATGCGCCTGCTCAAACATGTCTTCATCATAAAGCAAGCGACAAAATTTTGCTTTTTCTTCACGGATTTATAATTATGTTTATTGCAAAGGATTATTGTTAAACACGTGTTGCCACGCCTATATACCTGCACCTGCTCAAACTTGAAGCAAGCAACAAATCACTTACAAAATTAACGAATTGACTTGCTTTTTCACTGATATATAATCATGTTTAGTTTAGTGCAAAGGATTATTGGTAGACACGTGTTGCCACGCCCATATACCTTCATATTATAACTTACCTGGGTTCGAAGACTTTCTAACTTGGAGTTACAGCAACCTAAGATCTAAGAAAGGAAAASAGATTAACATTGCTTTCAGTCCTATCTTTACGATTAAACAGGTTCAAATTCTTGAAGTGTCGTCGAGTTGGTAAATGGCACTGATTGGCTTACCTCTCTACAAAGATCTCCACAGTGATTGGCACTTCCTCTGAACAGAGCAATAGGGAACTAGACATAAATAAAGGGTATGAGTAAAAAATTATCATCTTTCTTCCTGAGAAACACGTGCTGACTGACCTTGTTAATAAACGATCTCAGACTTGCAAACACGTGTTTGATCATCAACTCCGATTGCGAGATTTGTAGAAAAGAAACAAGGGTGTCAAAAACCTGTAAAGATGAATAGAGAACAAGCCATTACGATCCTCTAGTCTCGGAGGTAAAATATACCAACGCTCTAGTGACTGGTTTTCTGGGGGACCACTAATTTCTCAGTCCCCACTTTTACTTTTCAGACTCTCACAGTAGTGTCATAAGAATAAGCAAGGTAAAACTCACCTTCTTCATCAGGAGATTGTCCCCGTCGTCTTGTTCCAAATGGAACTAGAAAAAAATGTTACCTCAATGTTATTTCACATTTTGACCATTTTCTTAAGATATTTTCCAAAGGCTAAAGAAATAAACCCAATCCCTATTTCCCATTTCAGACCATGTGTCACTCCCTTGAGTATTATTTTCTTTGTTTAACCATTAACATTCCAAGAGATATATCGATATAGGCTCGACATGACATCAGTGTGAGTAGAGTTCTTTAGGTCTCCTTCTTAGTTCTCCGATTTTCCTCACTCCGTAAAACCTAACACGTTTTCAAATTCCAAATCGATCTGTCTGTCAGGAATGCCCTGATTTTGATCGGTACCAGGGTATCGATAAACATATTTTTGAGGTCTTAATATGGAGGAGACTGAAACAAAAAATCTTATTTTCAAGGGTAACTGGCACTGGGCATTGGGTAACAATCCAGACAAGCATCTCTTTCATACCTTAAAGTGGTTGCAGAACAGCTCCACCAGATCAAGAACAACAAGGCCCACCTCATTAGAAAGGTTTCCCTCCATCAGTACACGRGTCTTAAGATCCATGTTATTACCTTAATAGAAACATCAAATCTACATTAGTATGCAGAAATGATGTAAAATAGTGGCCCAAAGGATGAGCTGTGGGGTACGCCCGTGCTTTTCAAAGCTGCAACTTATATCAGCCAAATAAGAAAAACGCAAATAAAAGACAGTGATTTATTTGATTATTACATATCAAATAAATGTGTATAAGAAAGGTCCCAATGAGAAGCTGTGTGGAACACCCTTACCTCCTTGGCTTGGATTTCTCGAGTGCTTGGACGAAGATCCGGAGTAATTCTTATAACGCTGTTCAAAGTACTGCTTGGTCGTCTCTGTGCTTGAGTTACTGTGATGAAACATGTTCTTTTAAAGTTAAAGGACCTAACTCAGTTTAGTCAGGTTATTTAGATTCCTAAAGAATCTTTTTTTTAACAAGTTAAGGTGCAAGTTTCCATGCTCTGATTGATCGGATATTTTTTATTACCACTTCGACCAAGAGAAGGCTGGGCAATTTGATTAAAAACTACATGTAGTGTTTGAGATCTTTAAAGTTTGAACATATCTGGATCAACTTCTGTTGCTTAAGTTGGTGACCCTGGAGTAATTACGAAATCGCGTCAAAATATATACATCATAAAAAGAAAAATAAATGGGAAAAATAAAAAATGTATAGTGAATGAATGAATGAATGGATAAATGAAAAAAGAATGAACCAACGTGCGAACAAGTAAAAGAAAACGAATATGAAGAGTGAAGATTGAACCAACCATAATCGAGAGAATGGGAGTATTATGAAGGATTATTAGACAGATGAAAAATGAAGAAATAAAAGAACGTAAGAATGTAAGAATGTAAGAACGAAAGAACAAGTTATCGTACTTTGCTGGGAGATTGGGTCGCCAGGTGGCTTTGAGATACTCAAGTTCCCTGTCAAGATGTACAAACACAACAGATTAAACTATCGCATGCATTTATACTCATCTATTGCGTTTTATATTTATAAGGCTGTATATAGGTTCTTCTACTTACAGATTAGAGAAAGACAGTCGTTTTTACAAGATATAAGAACACTGAGAAGAATAGCGACTGATACCAAAGTGGACGGGGACAATTAGTGATTGTGACTCTATACATCAGTACACTGGTCAAACAAAAAGCATTCAGCTGAGGCTACGAGGCCGAATTTAAAAGCACCTCGGAGCCTCGTTTGTGTGGTTTGTGACTGACCATTGGACTGGTGTATGGGAGGTTGTCATAGAATCAGTATGATTTGACAGCGTRATTTGATAGCGTGATTGCATTAGACGAATTGCATTAGACGAATTCTGTGTGACTGAACTTAGTTCGAAGAGTGAGGGTGGGTTGATTTGCGTGAAACAAAAACAAAAGCCAAAAAAAACTAAAAAAAAAAAACTAAAAAAAAACAAAAACCAAACCCCCCCCCCCCCAAAAAAAAGCACATGGAGTACTTACATATTAGCCTGTATGTTTGACTTCCCTTGATATCTAAAGTGCTTCAAGCACAACCTAAATAAGGTAGACATGCGTTACCATTACCATGACAACATACATCCAGGGTAATTTTTCACCTCAATAACAGTATGAATAGGGATACCATAAAAACATGTATCTAAGTAACAATTACCATGACAACATGTAAACCGTAAGGGAGTTATCATTACCATGACGACATATATCCAGGGTGATTAACAACATAACAGTATGAATAGGGAGATCATAAGAACATGTATCTAAGTAACAATTACCATGACAACATAAAATCTGTAAGGGAGATACCATTACCATGACAACATATATCCAGGGTGGTTATCAATGACAACAAGAATGGGAAAACCATGACGACATGTACCTCTAAGTAACCATTTCCATGACAACATGTAAAAAGTAATATAGATATTACCATGACAATATGTATCTAAGGTGATAGTTACGATGGTAGACTCACCAACGCCATAGCAATTTTAATGTCACTAAATATCACCCTGACAACGCAGTTTTGTGCTACCTTACAACAATGACAACCACAAAATATATTTTTCTTTGAATGAACAAATATCTTGGCAAGGATTGTGGGGTACTCACTTTAAGAGGTCAAACATATCAATGACGGCTGCGAACTTAGAGTAGTACTTGTCTTGGTGTAGCATGAAGAGTACTGTAGGGTGCCAGTGAGCACGCTTAACGGCTGACGTCATGATTTGTCTCCACCAGTCCAGTATTACACCTTCAAACACACAAAAAGTGTTGAAGTTACTTTCAAATATCTGTACTGACCACACATAAGCGCGCCTGATGATGATGATGGTGGTGATGATGATGATGATGGTGGTGATGATGATGATGGTGGTGATGATGGTGATGATGATGATGGTGGTGGTGGTGATGATGATGATGGTGGTGGTGGTGGCCATATGCATTCTTACCTAAGTTCAAAAAGTTTACCTAGTTCGTAGGTAAGTTTTTTGAACATGTTCAAAATTCTTACTTAGACATAGTAAACTTTTTGAACATGTTCAAAAAGTTTACCTATTCCTAAGTAATTTATTTGAACATAGTGCTCTTTTTGAACATGTTCAAAAAATTTACTGTTTTGTTTTTCCCTCATATCTTAGGAAATTATAGATGGTGAGCTTTG